GCGTGAGCTGGGACTGGGCCGGGCTGCGTGCCTGCCTGCAGAACCGGATTGCAATAAAAGTATTCTAGGAGCTGGGTGGGCAGGCAGCTAAAAATTTTAGGCAGCTCCTATAACATTTTAATTGCAGGGCTGCAGCGAGGGTAGCTTCCAGGATCCAGCGTGAGCCGGGACTGAGATGGGCTGCCTGCTGACCAGTTCTTAAAAAATTTACTGGCAGGAGGACAGGGGGGAAAAAATGCATGTAGTTGATAGCAATAATAGATAAGCAAAATGTTATTGGTTAATCATTTAATTGTCCACACTATTATACCCCTAATCTCAGTACAGAAACTGCGCTACTGAGCAAGGAAATCTATTTAATACATATGTAAAAATAAACCTGTAAACTCTAAATGCAAACTTGCACCTATGTCTATATCCAGAGATCTCAAGACACTAGGCTCAAATCTGTGGAGAGTAAATTATTTACACAAGTTAACATATGGAAACAAGCAAAGCTTGTAAAAACGAGAATCTTACCTGCAATTCCTATGAAGACCGTCAAACCAAAACAAATGAAGAATACAACAAAGACCAGGACAAAGTGCCGTTTGGACAGCGTATACAATCGCATTGGTGCCAACCTGCATGAAACAACAGAAAGCACAAAATTAGCACTCAGTAATGGCACTTATAAAAAGAGACTGCCTCAGACAGCCCTCAAATAATAATAAAAAAAAAAATTCTGTGGCAATGCAAAATACTAAGAAGAATCCATCAATAATGCAGATTTATAGAACAAGCATAACAGTTTTCTTTCAGCCCTGAACACTCAGCATCACCAATTTTCTTTTTTTTTCTTTTCTTTTTTTGGTGAGGGACAGGATTTTAGTGAATTTTGGAGCTCATCTTGCAATGAAGTGAGAAGCTCCAACTCTATTAAGAAGTTCAGTCTTGCCAGAAGCAGAGAGTCTCTTCTCTGTCCTCAAAAGGAGGAGCAGAGAGAAGGCTGGGACGGCTGAACTGATGGTAGTGGCTGGGATGAGGATTAATTGCTTGATGGGAGAGGGAAAAAAGCAGATGGGGGGGGGTCAGAGCTCCTGCAGCAGGGGCTAATATTTTACCCAAGATATTTGGGAGAGCGGGCAACACCATCACACAGTGGGGTTGGGCAGGGAAGTAAAAAATTAAAGGATTATAATGTGGGGGTTTGTTCTGTCTTTTGGAAATCTCATGATTGAGGTGGCCCAATTTCCAATTTTTCATTGCTAGAAGCTGAAAATACTGTACACCAAAGAATGTGAGGTTCTTCTTGTCCTAGTATTATAAACAGCAGTTGCCACACTTGTCATGCCACGATCTTTCAAAAATGCCCCCCGTTGTCGAAAAAACCCGCGTCTAAACCACGGTTTTAGTTTCAAAATGGCGCTTGTTCGAAACACATCATGACACAATTATGCAAATGAAGCATGGGATATTTAAATCCCCGCTTCATTTGCACTTTCGAAGTGCTTCATTTACATCCCTCTGCCGACAGAGGGTTGTAGTTTAGACATAGCCTAAGTGCCTTGCAAGTATGGACACCTCAGGAACTACAGCACTGTGAGCTGATTTACTGTGCTGTAACCTGCTAGTGTAGACTGGATACAGGAAACCAACTCAACGAGAGGCACAGAACTTCATGCACAGTGGCTCCAGAGCTAGGGTGCAAGGGTGAGCACTTCATTATCTTCTACATAGTAACTGGTCTGGAAATGTCCCATAATCCCTCCAATGGCCACTCCGTTCATTGTTTTGAACTCAGCTGGCTGCCCCGCAGGCATGCACATATCCTCTTTCAAAGCTCCCTTTCTGACAGTCCCCATGCTGAGGTGATCTGCTCTGGGACACAGAGCAAACAGTTCAGGCTGAATGCCTGCTCTGTTGAACACAGAGGCAGAGGGAGAGAGGAAGAGGGGTGTGTGTGTGAGGCAGAGGGAGAGAGGAAGAGGGGGTGGGGGGGGGGGGAGGGTAGAGAGGGTGGTGGTGGTGGTGTGTGTGTGAGAGACTGCTGTGCAAAGAGTTGGGGAGGGAGGCACAGGCATTAATGTTGGGGTTCTCTCTGTCCCTACTGCAGGATGAGTTGTTTCCTATTGCTGCCTGAACTTACAAGACAGCAGCACGCTGACATCCCACAAGACATACACACAGTGTCTCTTCCCCCCAAGACATACACGCAGTCCATGTCACACACTCTCCCCCACCCTCTGTTGAAAAGCAGCTGTCAGTGTAGTAGGATGACCATGGAACAATGGGATTGGGAAACTAGCAACAGATGACACTGCATGCCCCATGCAGCACTGCAAACCCTTCCAAAGCACCCTGCAGCTACTTGAACAATGCCACAATGCACTGCTTTCTGTGGCATTGCAATAGTTGCCCCACTATCACAAGGAGCTCAGAGTTGACACACAACAGCTATTTTCATAAGAACATAAGAATGGCCATACTGGGTCAGACCAAACATCCATCCAGCCCAGTACCCTGCCTGCCGACAGTGGCGACTGCCAGGTATCCCAGAGGGAGTAAATCGAACAGGTAATGATCAAGTGATCTCTCTCCTGCCATCCATCTCCACCCTCTGACAAACAGAGGCTAGGGACACCATTCCTTACCCATACTGGTTAACCGCCATTTATGGACTTACCCTCCATGAATTTATCTAGTTCTCTTTTAAATCCTGTTATAGTCCTAGCCTTCACAACCTCCTCAGGCAAGGAGTTCCACAGATTGACTATGCGCTGTGTGAAGAAGAACTTCCTTCTATTTGTTTTAAACCTGCTGCCTATTAGTTTCATTTGGTGGCCCCTAGTTCTTATATTATAGGAACAAGTAAATAACTTTTCCTTATTCACTTTCTCCACACCACTCATGATTTTATAGACCTCTGTCATATCCCCCCCTTAGTCTCCTCTTTTCCAAGCTGAGAAGTCCCAGTCTCTTTAATCTCTCCTCATATGGAACCTGCTCCATACCCCTACTCATTTTAGTTGCCCTTCTCTGAACCTTTTCTAATGCCAGTATATCTTTTTTTAGATGAGGAGACCACATCTGTATGAGGTATTCAAGATGTGGGCATACCATGGATTTATATAAGGGTAATAAGATATTCTCCATCATATTCTCTGTCCCTTTTTTAATGATTCCTAACATCCTGTTTGCTTTTTGGATTGCCGCTGCACGCTGAGTGGACGTCTTCAGAAAACTATCCAAGATGACTCCAAGATCTCTTTCCTGATTAGCTGTAGCTAAATTAGCCCCCCATCATATTATATGTATAGTTGGGGTTATTTTTCCCAGTGTGCATTACTTTACATTTATCCACATTACATTTCATTTGCCATTTTGTTGCCCAGCCACTTCGTTTGGTGAGATCTTTTTGAAGTTCTTCACAGTCTGCTTTGGTCTGAACTACCTTGAGCAGTATCGTCTGCAAACTTTGCCACCTCACTGTTTACCCCTTTCTCCAGATCATTTATGAATAAATTGAATAGTCCCAGCAGTGCTCTGTGAGCAGCATTGTAACTACCAGCTCTTTACATCTGCCAGTTAGACAAAGCCTTAAACTACACACAAGTAGTTTAGGTAAAACAGTGCAAACTCTTGTGTGGACACACTTATACTGATTTAAATTGCATTAGTATATACTGCTGTATATTGCATTAGTATGAATTGAGGTAAGAGAATGTTGTGCTATTTGTAATTTTCCAAGGGCTTTTGGTCCTATGTGTTGCCCAAAACTGCTTGCATAATTAGGAATGTTGTACATTGGATAGTTCTTAGACAGTATTGGGAAAGAAATAAACATGCATCATAACAAGTAGTTACTTAGTTGCAGAATATCATGAAGCAGTTAAAATCAGGATCACATAAAACATTTTATTATTTCTTTATGCATACATGTATGTCTTCAAGTTAACAGATTTCAAAGCATTTAACGTGGACACAAAGCACAGCTAAAATAACCATTCTTCTGAGTATCTCAATACTCAGGTAAAGTAACAAGGATCCTCATCCACAATATTCACAGGCTGGCTTGACAACGAGGGGCATGTAGGTTGTTTATTTACTTGTAAACAACAGAAATAACGCAAGCTTCCCCATCCCACCCTGCTGAAACCACTTATATACACGGCAGTTCAGTTTTTATGCTCACTCAGTATTAGATGGTGTCATAGGTGTACAAAGTATTTTACACATTTTATAGCTGAATAAGACAACAACATGGGCTTTGCTGAGAAGAGCAGAATTTACAACCTTGTATGAAGAACACAACAAAATGACAAACTACTTGGGGAGGAAAAGAGGAACAAATGATTCACAGGAAATACTGAGGGGGGGTACTCCTCTTGGGGAGCCCAGAACATTAAACATACAGTGTGAGCGGTTTCAAATCTGTCACCGACATGATTATCTATGTATATACTTTAAAAGAATTTTCCCAGCAAGATGGAAGGAGGGAGATGGGCAGGGTGAGGAGGAGTTAGGGAGGATAATGGATAGGAATGGAGGCAGAGGGATGGGGTGTAGGAATGGAGGAAGGGGGTAACAATCGAAGGAAGGAGGTGGGCTGTGGGTCATGGAGCTCTGGGCCCCAGCTCTCCCCCACATCTTCCCCTCCTTACAGCAGCGTGCGTACTTCCCAGCAATCTGACGCAGAGCCTCAGGGTTTCCTTCTCTCCTCCCTTTCCTGCAGGAAGCCAGTGCTGGTGCTGTAATCTTGCATTGGGGAAATGGTTCAAGGTAGAGTACCAGGCAGGCAACAGCCCAAGCTTGGGCCAGGCGGAGGCAGCAGTTCCCTGCAAGGTCCCGAAGCGTTGGGGCCCCAAAACGCCGCTACCCCTGCCACTCTCTGGCTTGGCCCCGGCCCTCCTCCAGCAGCCAAAGGGGAGCTGAGAGACTGGAGCTGCGACCAGGGGGAAGGAGCAGGGGCGAGAGTGGGGCCTGCCTCTCCCCAGAAACAGGGATTTGCAAGTCTAGTGAGCAGGAGACAATGCCCCCTAGTTTTTATTTAAAATAATTTAAACTTCTGTTACTGGTGAGTTATCACTGAAAGGCTTTGAAAATATGTATGTAAGGAAGGATTTCAGTGAAGTGGGACTAGAATACAAGAAAGACTGTTCTAAGCAAAAGAGGCAGCACAGAAGAATGCATAAAGATAGACTGGAAGAAAGAAATAAAGGGAGTATTTAGATGTGAGTTTATGTGTAAGAACTTAAAAAACAACAAATTGTCTTTCAGCACCTTAACGACTAACAAAACATGTAGATGGTATCATGAGCTTTGATGGGCACAACCCACTTCTTCATATGAATGGAAACATTAAAGGTCCAATTTCAAAATAAATAGGTGATGGGGGGGGGGGGGGGGGAGGCTTTATGCTACATGAAGCTGGTAGAGAAGTTTCAAATAATTAAGTACCCATTATTTGGTTTTTTATGTCATTAGGCTATATCAAATGTAGCCAGCCATCCAGCCAAAGTCTTTATTCATACCTTTGTGATAGGAATCAAACCGGTAAATGAAGTTAAGTTCCAAGGCTTCCCTGCGTATTTGGCTTCTGGAATTGACCTGAAACTGCACGATGACTTTGAGATCCATTAAC